CAAGAATAAAAACGAAAAACCTCTGTCCCTTGTTTCTGTACCGCCAGCAACACTGACCTCCCAAGTTTTCTTACACCCAAACCTCTGTCTCTCGTCACTCTTTCACCAAATTTACCTTCGAAAGGTACACTTTCCTCTGAATGTGATTCGAATTCGATTGAAGCGATTTGGTTTCGTGATTTGTTTTTGTTGCCTTTTTTCGAGTTCTGTTCATCTCCAAGCTTGGGCAATTCAATCTTTTCTTTTGGCCAAAATTTCTGCGTTTTTTCAGCTGCTGTTTGATGATTCTTGAAATTCTCGGTGTGCGGCGTGCATGCAAATTTATATTGCGTTATACTCTTGTGAGATTGATGTCGAGATGTTCTTTGTTCATAGTTTTGTTTTTTTGTTCGTCGTGCATATCATTGTTGATTGTTGCTTGTTCTGAAATGGCAGTTGAACATTTTGAGTCCTCGATGTTGATAAGCTCGAGTTTTTCAAGGATTTGAATGCTATTGTTGTTTGTGGATGTGGTCAATAGGGGCAAGTGAAATTGGGGCTAAATGCGAGTGGGTTGTGAGTGAGGCATGAAATGGCATTGTTGAGCTTTTCCGATGTTGATAATGATCTGTAATCTTGAAATATCCGATTTAGAAGTGATGTGTTAATTTATTTTGCATCGAATGTGGGTTATCTAGCTCATTATGTTGCTTTGTTAGAATGATTTGCTTTGCTATTAGTTAGCTAAAAGAATTTTGAATGGGAAAGAAAGATCATACAGTTTTCTAGCGCATTATGTTGCTGTAACAATGTATCTCTCATATAGCTGGAAATCTGAACTGTTCTGTTGGAGTTAGAATCAGAAAAACTTGTTATGTAGAATAGTTTAATCAGGCAGTTGAGCATGGAGCATTAGGCAACTCTCATGCTTAGTTGGAGAGTAGAAAATACAGTCTTCTGCATGGGATAGTTGGGTCAGGATCCCATAGAGATTTATATTTCTTGATTTATTCCTTGAACTCAACTTCATGCTTATGTATTGTATCATTGAACCCTACCCTGGCATCCAATGCCGGCTAAGCAAATCTCAGAAGTATTATCTTGTAGTGAACTCCTTAGGTTGAGACCAAGTTCTTCTTGTCTTCTGTCCATTTTAAACGTGCTTTTTTTGGGATTTTAACATGTTCTTGTTGCCTTTGACTTTGTAAGAATGGATACATTCGTGGTTTCTCGTGCAATTAATTGTCTCTTTCGGCCGGCCAAATTGCATACGTGGTCATCTATTGGTCACATTCATGTTATATGAAAATATTACTTATTCAGTTAGCGAACGTGTTATTTTCTTAGGTTTGTTCTCCACAGCCATGGAAAAGATATAGTTTCGTCCAATGTACTCGAAAAGATCCGCAGAAGGGGATGGGCCCGACTCAAGGCCAATACGTACAAGCGATAGGATCAAGAGCCGGCCGAAGTTTTATAATCGCTCATACTTGCATTATACCCCCACAATCATACGGTCTAAGAGAAAGAAGACCAAAACAAGGGCTGCTGCTGCTGCTCAAATAGCTAGGATGTTGCGTCAAAAGAGATCATCCAAAGCAAATGTATGGAATGCAATCTGTTTGCTTTTTTTGCATAATTTTGATTTCATAATTTCCGACATTTAGTGGATTAAATTTATGGCCGAGCTAGGTTTTTTTGCTGTAATTCATCAGTACTTTTGCATGTTGATGTTAATCATATTGCATAAATATCGGGGCTTATTTCAAATAACAACAAGAGGTGAACATGCTAGCTGCATGATTCCAGTTGCTCAATTTAAGAACATAAGTCGTTGTAACTGTAACATTTTACCATTGAACTGTTTCAGTCTGTGGCCACCAACCTCAGGCGCTCCACTAGGAAGAGGAGGGTTCCCATCAATCTTGAAGAATACACAGACAGCTCTGGAACAGAGGACAATGACTTAATGGTGTGGGCCGTGCTGCTCAATATATTATCAACACATATCCATACCATATATACTTGTCGTGTTCTCTTCAACTCATTCACCTTTTTTTTTCAGAATCCTCGGTATAGAAGGCCTAGGAACAGAATAAGAAACAACAGTGGAAGCCAAGACGAGCTCGCTCCCCGTCGTGAAGGTCTCAGGCCGCGTCGCGAAGGGCTCCGTTCTCGACGCCTGAGGGCGGGTCCCAGGAGAGGTCTAAGCATGGAAACAGACGACGAGGAACAAAGCACGTCCGACGAGAAAGAGGCAAACGCCGAGCCGGAAAACGCGAAAGACGACTTGGAGGATGATGATAATGATGATGCGGACGATGGGGAGGGTGAAGAAGACGAGGGCCCCGCCGGCGAGGACGGTGAGGAAGAAGACGGTGATGGTGAGGACGGTGAGGAAGAAGATGGTGATGGTGATGGAGAGGACGGTGAGGAGGAAGATGGTGATGACGAGGAGCAAGAAGAAGGCAGGCGCAGGTATGACCTTCGTAACCGCGCGGAGGTACGCCGGCTCTCTATCGAGCAGAACAAACAGATGACTCGGTCTCCGCGTAGGGTTCTCCACCAGGGGATGGGAACTCGAGTGGGCCGGGAGGGGAGGAGGGGCGGGTCCCGCGTCCACAAACGTCATCGAATTGCACGGGCCGATGACTCGGACGACTCTCTCCTGGTGGATGAGCTCGACCAGGGCCCGCCTATACCATGGGGGAGGGGTGGTAGCAGGTCCGGCCCAGCCCCCTGGCTGCTCGGTGGTCTCGACATGCAGGGAACGACTGCATGGGGCCTGAACCTTGCCGCCTCCGGCTGGGGCCATCCGAACGAGACGCTCTCCGGCCTGACCTCAAGCGCCCAGACAGCTGGCCCGAGCTCGAAGGGGGGAGCCGACATTCAGCCTGTCCAGATCGACGAGACCGTGAGCTTCGACGACATAGGCGGCCTGTCGGAGTATATAGATGCCCTCAAGGAGATGGTGTTCTTCCCGCTGTTGTACCCGGACTTCTTCGCGAGCTACAACATTACCCCTCCCAGGGGGGTCCTCTTGTGTGGCCCCCCTGGGACGGGGAAGACACTGATAGCGAGGGCTTTGGCGTGCGCCGCCTCGAAGGCCGGGCAGAAAGTTAGCTTCTACATGCGGAAGGGGGCTGATGTGCTGAGCAAGTGGGTCGGTGAGGCAGAGCGGCAGCTGAAGTTGCTGTTTGAAGAGGCCCAGAAGAATCAGCCGTCGATAATCTTCTTTGACGAGATAGACGGACTTGCCCCAGTCAGGTCCAGCAAGCAGGAGCAGATCCACAACTCTATCGTATCCACATTGCTCGCGTTGATGGATGGTCTCGATTCTCGGGGGCAGGTGGTCTTGATTGGGGCCACCAACAGGATCGACGCCATAGATGGAGCTTTGAGACGTCCAGGGAGATTTGACCGCGAGTTCACCTTTCCGTTGCCCGGATGCGAGGCGCGGGCGGAGATTTTGGACATACACACTCGTAAGTGGAAACAGCCGCCTTCCAAGGAGCTTAAACTGGAGCTTGCGGCCAGTTGCGTGGGGTATTGTGGAGCTGACCTGAAGGCTCTGTGCACCGAGGCTGCCATACGCGCCTTTCGCGAGAGGTATCCTCAGGTTTATACCAGTGATGATAAGTTCTTGATAGATGTTGAGTCCGTGAGGGTGGAGAAGTATCACTTTTTGGAGGCTATGTCCACAATCACTCCTGCTGCCCACAGGGGCTCCATAGTGAACTCAAGGCCATTATCGCCTGTTGTTGCCCCGTGTCTACAAGGACTTCTTCGCAAGGCAATGGGTATTATTTCTGATATATTCCCTGTTCTGACAGTTTCATCGGAGGTGACTAAGCTTTCAATGGTTTCCTATGGATCTGCAATTTCACTTGTTTATCGGCCTAGGCTTTTGCTGCATGGCGATGATTGTGTTGGACTGGTAAATGTCTTAAATCATTTCATTTTACTGTCAACTGTAGTAAAACTCACACCTAACTTGTTTTCAATCGTTTTTGTTTTGTAGGATCATATCGGGCCTGCAGTTTTACACGAACTGGAGAAATTTCCAGTTCACTCTCTTGCACTACCATCTTTACTTTCTGATCCTGGTGCCAAAACACCAGAGGAAGCGTTGGTGCACGTGTTTGGTGAGGCCAGGAGGACTACACCGTCAATACTGTATTTACCTCAATTCCACCTGTGGTGGGAGAGTGTGAGTGCATTTTGTGGTTATAACATTTAACATGATTTTGGGTACACTTAAATCTTCAGTTTTCTTTTGCCTGCTCACATTTGCTTTAATTTTCTGCTTTTCGGGTACTATTCATTTATTATTTTCCAGGCTCACGATCAACTAAGGGCCGTACTGCGTACACTATTGGAAGAATTGCCTTCTGACCTGCCCGTATTGCTGTTTGGTACTTCCTCGACCCCGCTTGAGGAGATATGTGATAATCCAACCTCGGTATTCTCTGATCGCAATGTGTATGTGTTCCTGTCAAATATTGAGATACCGTACTATGATTATTTTGTCAGATTTGTTTATTTGGGTTACTGTCCCACTTTAAACTACAAGATGCTAAAAAGATTATATTTCCTTTTGACAGGTTGCAGTTAAGCCCACCATCAACCGAAGACAGATCTTTGTTTTTTGACCTCCTGATTGCAGCAGCGTTGTCAGTTCAATCTGATGGTCTAGCAAAGGAATCGGCTAGATCCCAGAACCTTCCGGAACTTCCGAAAGCACCAAAAGTGGATACAGCACCAAAGGCCTCCGAATTACGGGCCAAAGCTGAAGCTCAATTGCACGCCCTTCGACGGCTGCGCATGTGCCTTCGAGACATTTGTAATCGGTGAGACATAGCATGATACTTTGCTGCTTTTTTGTGATTGGCTGATTAACTTCTGGTTTTTTCTCTCATTTATTTTGTCACAGGGTTCTGTATGACAAGCGTTTTAGTGCTTTTCATTATCCCGTCATGGATGATGATGCACCAAACTATCATGCGATTATCCAAAATCCTATGGACGTAGCTACTCTGCTTCAGCATGTCGATAGTGGAAAATACATCACGTGTAAATCGTTCTTGGAGGATTTTGATCTCATTTTAACTAATGCCAAGGTTTGTTCTGAATTTGGTAACTAGTGCCCAATAACTCTTTAAAACTGTAGTATAATAATGAAAGAACTGAACATAAAGAATACTAATCATTCGACTCCAAAAAAAGTCTTTATGCTAACAGTTTGACTCTGTTTTACACTTTTACTAGAAATACAATGGGAACGATTACAATGGAGCGAGGATTGTCAGTCGGGCCTATGAACTTCGAGATTCTGTATGTCCCCATCTATCAGTTTAGTCTAAACTTCTCTAGGTTGGGCTTTGTTTCTTTAATTTAATGCAAATACTACTCTCACATTTTTAGGTGCACGGGATGCTATCCCAGATGGACCTATCCTTGGTTACATTTTGTGACAAGATTGCGGATGAAGGCGGGCCAGTGTCCTTACCTGATGATATTGGTGGTGGTGGGATACCACAAACTCCCATTATCCAGATGATGTCTGTGACTAGAGCTAGTGCACGTCTTCGTAATGTGCAGCCTGAAGTTAATTTGGATCAAAGCTATGAAGCTTTCAAGAAGCAAAAGAAAAATCATGATGCCTCTCAAACGGGTAATTTATAATGGGATTCATCATAATTGTTTCAAAACTCCATAAACAAAAAAAGAAAGTATTTTACCTTTCAGCAAGTACAGTCGAACATCCTCATTTTGTTCAAGGTAAATTACAATGACCATAAAGTTCGGCCTCATTCAGTTTCTGTTTTTTGTCTAACAAATATGTAACCACCTATCGAGGGTGTAACTTGGAGACTCTTAATACACCAAAATGGTATCTGGTAATTACTAATTACAAAAACTACCCAGCTGCTTACTCGAACTATGAATTTTTTTTTTAGCATTATCAATTACCTGTTGAGGTTTTTCTTTAAAAACCTCGTCTCTTGTGTATTTAAAGATAAATGGGTTCATTTATAGTTAACTCAAATTATTAAATAGCTGGTTATTTCATAATTAGACTAAGCCTTGGTGATATCCGTGTAATTTCAGCCTTCTATGCCACTAATTCATAAACAATACTTTGTTTGCATGTGAAATTTGGTGGAAAATAGAGGCAGCGCAGCCCAATTCAGATCTGCAAAAGCCATCCGAAGATACTGAAACAAATGGGGCTGATGAGCACAGAGCGGAAACTTCAGTGGCTAATGGTGTAAATTCTGATCCCAACCCTGGAAACACTTCACAGGACGTGACTATGTTGGATGCCGAGAGTTCCGATCAAGTCGAGTCCATAAAGCAGCTGTTTATGGGCCGGACCAAAAATTATGGCATCCCACAGTTGGAGAGATTGTACGCGCACGTGATGAAGGGTGTTTTCGAAACGAAAAGCAAGGCAACTGTAGATGATATTAAAGGTTCAATTTTGCGGTTTTTGTATGAGTTTGCAGAGGATGAATCCAGGTTCTGATGGACTTTGGGCACTACTAATTTTTATGAAACAATTTTTCCAAACTTCTTGGTATTAAAGCTAACCTCATACATTGAGTCTCTCTCTCTCTCTCTCTCTCTCTATATATATATATATATATATATATATACACACACACCGGAACATGTGGATTTTGTGGCTTCTTGGTGCATAACCATAGTAATTTGAAATGTATGAGCCTTTGATCTGAACTCAATTATACATTCCAGTTAAAAGGCACTCTTTTGAGGATAAATTAATCCCAAAGTTGGAAAAAAAAAGACAGACAATGATTGACTCCCACATCAAATAGTACTTTCAGGCCTTTCTTTCGATTCTTGTGCGCCCACAAGATGTTTATTACTGTTGGGTCAATACACACCAACCCGCAAAGACACGTACTGTGTTGATGATCATGAAGATAAACAAACAAAACCGTAAATGGAGAGAGAGAGAGAGAGAGAATTTCAGGTTGTATGTTCTAAACAGAAATGAAATTAAATTACAAAAGCCAGCCACTTTACCAGCAAGCTTATTACATGAAAGCTCAGTTCTCTTACAAATCTGTCCAACAATTTTGTCATCCAAACTATAACTAGCTCCAAGTCCAACCCTTTTCAAGCCCTAATCTGCCTTAGAGCAATATAAGCCAACAGCCGGTACCCGACAAACATGACAAAAAGCATCACGACACTCATAGCCGGACTCATCTGCCCGCATATATCCTCTTCGATGAACTTACACGCGGGCCCACCTTGACCCCCGCCAGCAGAGCAATCTAGCAAACTCGAGACTTTCTCCCCATCTCCATACTGAACATTGATAAGAAGCTTATAAGTGTAAAAAGTAGTCGACACGTACTTCATCCACAAGATGAACGACGGTACTTTATGCACGTAGTAACCTCCCGTTAGGACAAAAGCCAACATAACCACGGTGACCACAGTCGAGGCCTGTCTTGCATCCATGATCAGTGCACCAAGCGCCAAACCTAGCCCAATAGAAACGAGCACGTAACCTAAAACTACGAGTAAAGTCAAGATGAAAGCCGAAAGCTCGGGTTTAAGCCCCGTCATCCAATACGTTATGGATACGAACAACATTGGGAGTATGAGCTCCATCGGCAAATCGGCGCTTATACGCGCGAGAAAATATGACGAGAGGGTATACATTCCGGAAGCCCTCTCCCTCACGAAAATCGAGCGTTCTTGCGGGAAGGCAAAAACCGCGTTGAAGGACGGGAGAACGCCCCAAAAGATGGTGATGAAGAAGAGAAGCCCTAATCGGTCTCGAACGTCTCGATAATCCGAGTGCCACCACATGAAGCCGGCTAGTAGAGAGGCCATGATGACTTGGAAAACGCGTAGGGAGTTGAAGCTCTCGTATTTTCTCTCCTTGAGGCTCCTCTCGAGAAGGATCGTGAATTGGTTGAGCCACGTGGATAAGTGGCTCGTGAGTCTTCGATTCTTAGTAGTGTGATGATTTGTGTCTACAATTGTGTCTTTCGGTAACGGGTTTGAGGAATCCATGCAAGATGCTCTTACCTTGGGTTCGAGTATGTTGTTGTACGAGGACACGAGGGCTTGTCTTATGTTCGGTTTATCTCTTTCGTTCGAGCCGTCTAGGTGATATACGCCTGCGAGTACGAATCGAGATGGCCGTGAGCATAATATTTGTGTTAATCAATATGAAATAGTAATTGAGCCAAAAGATGATATGTTGTTAATGTTATGTTTCACATCTTTTTTTCTAAGCTTTACATCAATTTGGAGACTACAAACTACTGTTACCTCTTAATTTCAATACTGTCACTCATATTTCTCCAAATCATATTATATTTCTCCAAACCATTGAAGAGCTAAAAGGAAACAGAGAAAATGAGCTAACTAAAAGCTAGTGAATGTTAGACTGCTAGTGGTGAGGTGGGAGGCCACTGAACATAAAATGGGTGGTGATGAAATTTGGGCCACCCATCTCCACTTTTTTTTTTCTTTCAAGAATATTGATTATTTAAAAACCAATAAAAAGTTAATTTGGTGGTGGAGAGCACCTTAACACATGGCCTTCTTACTCAGTTTAAACTAATTCAGGACACACAATTGTCATCTGATCATAGAAAAACAAAAGTATGAGTGGGAACACTTTGAAGATCTTTATATTATGCAAGCAAGACATAGATCAGTAATTCATTATCTGCAATTAGTATGCTATTTTAAATTTAAGCTAAACTTGCAATAATTACAAAGACTGCTTTGAAAGTTTGACCTCTATCATACTGTGTCAAATTAACAAATATTTCCAGAAATGTTTAGAACTAAAATAAAACTATCATGCAAATTAATTTTTTCTATGCCGCCACCAAATTCATGTTGAAAGTTGCATCCAACGAGAAACAAACAGCACAAACAAAAATGTCCTGCTTTTATAGTTTTTAGTTCAAGGTGATCTATTAACAGAACAACCTTAAATGAAGAAATTAAAATACAATATTAGAAGGCTATTAACATTTAACATGTCAAAATGCTCTCCTAATGCGCTGCTTTATCCTTGTTTTTGCATTAAACTTAATTAAGTTTGTGGCATGTCCAACCAATCAAATCTTGAAAACAGAGGGATTAAAATAGGCCATAAAAATTAAACTAAACCAAATAACCAATGATAATTTGCCAACTCTTTTGCATCCTAATCTCAATCCTTCATTATTGCTTTTCAAATTCCACCTTATGACCAAAATAAACCAATGACATTGCTTTTGTTCTTGCCCAAGAACAAGAAAAAGAAAATTGTATTTCTTCTTACACAATTCAAAATTTTTATTTTTATTTTCATAGCTTCATTAGACTTTCAATCATGTATATGTGTCTTCACTGGATTATAGTTGTTAACAGAAACGGGCCGGAATTCGTTAGATAAACGGGTCGAGACGGATCAAGCTCCTTTAGTCAACTCGAAATATGAATTTTATATAATTGATGCTCAAGCTCGACTAGTCTCCAGCTCGTTCATCAACAAACCGAGCCAAGAAAAATGTTCGAGCTTGACTCGGGTTGTTTACATCTCAAATTCTAATCATTGACCGACCCTACTTTGTGTTTTGAGTTTTAGCAATTTCATTTTCTTTGCAATAATCTCATTTTTTTATTAATCCAACTACTATAATTTCTATTATAGCACATAAATGAGTTACTTCTCACCTAGACCAATTTCATGCAAAGAAGCATATCAATTTGTATTCCAAATCATGCTCAAATGATAAATATTCTTTATCATGGCCAAAAGGGATGGTCTAACATAGACCTATGAATGACACATATTTTCTTATCTCAACAACAAGCAAAAGAATGGGCATATGTTTTTTGTTGTGAAAGATAAAAAGTGATGCTTTATATTTATGAGTCAATTCAAGAATTTAAAGATTATGGCAATGGATAAAGGTGGCCACACCAAAGTACAGCTACTTCCACTCCAGTTCAAGATAATCATATACATACACATAAAAGGGGGGAAAAAAAGGAGATAATAATATATGCATATAGCTGTAAAACTAAATTAAATTTATATATGTACCTAGGAATTATTAATTATAAGAATTAAGATGAATGTGAGCCATAACATGTCCCTTTCTCAANGAGCCTAGCTAGGATCAGCTAATCAAATTAATAATTCAAATTTCTCATGTCATAATATAATAACACCAAAAATTGTCAATTCAATTTTCAATAATGCTCCACATTCTTTGATTAGGAAAACCATATTGCTCCATTAATTAGTCAAAGCTTATAATTTATGAAAAAATGGGCGTTAGTAAAGGTTCATTTCAACCTATTGATAACTTGCCGGGCAGTTATCGAGTATTTTACCATTCAATTAACACACAAGTGTATGTATGTCTATATTCAGACCCCGTTTAATTGTTTTGAAAACAATGAACTTAAAACAATGATAAAATCATCGTATATAAAATATCTTGTCCTTCAAACCCAATATGGAAAATATAATTAAATTTATTGACCCACTTTCCCCACAAGGGACACTGGAAAAATGGCACACGATAATTGGTTGAGTGTAGCTGATTAATTAGTTCAATGTTTCAAGCACAGCAATTAAAGTCATTACTTATGTTTGTACCCAAAAAAAAAAAAAGTCATTACTTATGTGCCTTTGCCTAATTGCTTTTGACTGGCACACACCAACAAAATATCATCTAAAGGACAATTTTTTTATTTTCGCTTCTTTTTCTTTTCCCTTCATTTTTGGTTCACGACCCTGTAATAAGACACGTACACAGAACATATATAGAAGTCTTCAAATTTATTATTCGGTTATAGAATTTTGTTAGAGAATAAGTCTTATTCTTCTTCCATTTATAGTAACAACAAATGCTTAAAATCGTATTATTTTTGGCACAAAGAAGCACCATAAAGAATATTCCTGTTGGACATAGAAAAATATCTCAGGAGACTGTTAAAGTGCACATCATTAATAAAATTTTTCTAAAATTTTAATATATTATATAAGTATATATTAATAAATAAATAAATAAATCAATCAATTGCATAACAAATTTAGATGACCTGAAATGAACTTATGGTCACAAACATTTAATTTAATTGATTGAAAATATCTAACTGCAAATTTGCAAGTGTTGAAAAGACAATAACATTTAATGTGTGCCCTGACATATATTGCGTTTTTCTCACATGCAACTCTCACAAACGTTGTTGTCAACACAATTGTGCAGAAATATTATTTAAAATTTGTACAGAAGTCGTCAGAAAATACTTCATATTCTAGTCAACTTATGTCAAATCTTTCGAAGAAAATCTGGATTGCGAAAGATGGGTCCTTAAATTAAGTACGAAATGGCCAAGCTCGTAGCTCAAATGATATCACTCGTTCATTAAGTAATATGTATTGCAAACTAAGCGATTCAAAAATTAATTTACATTGTATCTCTCACTTAAAAAAAAAAAAAGTTCAGAAAATATAAACATTCGAGCCAAATATATATCATATTAATGTACCTATGTTATATACCTACAAATTCGGTCTTAGTATCTTATATATTTGCAAACCAAAGTTGTACAACTAGTCACTTAATAAAAATTCCAAAACATCAACTCATTTATACCAAAAAATTTACGACACCCAATTATACCCTAAGCTCAAAATTTACCAAAATTACCATTGAGACATAAATTTTATGGATTGGGTGTGTGAGGTCGGCAAAGTCCCAGACAAATACCAAATTGGGCTTAATTGAAAAACATGGCTGCGTCTAAATTACATTAATGTTGGCCTACAAAAACTCAGATGCCCACATATCACGCATCTAACTATTCCTATTTTTAGCAAATAGATATTAATTAGACCCTAAAAGCTATGCCCTATATGTCGACTAGAATTGTGAATGAACCAAGTCGAGTCGAGTTAAGCCGAGCTTGAACTCTTAATACTCAAACTAAATTCCTATTTTAGATTATTAACTCAAGTTCGACTCATTTATCGAGCCATCTGAGTTGCTCGTTTCGCTTTAGAGCACTAGCCATGGGACAATATTTGTTTCAATCAATTATCTCATATTTTATTGGCATTAATTAAAATATTTAGGTTATGTCCAATAAGTTAACTAGCTTATAAACTAGTTGATCATGATAAAACTGTTTGTTAAAATTAACGCATAAAATCAGTTGAAATAAAAATGTCAACAGACTTATTTACTACACTAGTATGTGGCTCGTGCGATGCACGAGTAAATAATATTAAATAATATGTATAATATGTATTTGTTTAGAATTTTGAGTGTCACTTTGAGATTTTTTAAGATTTGAGACTTTTAAGATGATCAAATTTTAGAGGAATACTATGAAATCTTAAGTATGAATGTGAGATTTAGAGTGAAATTTTGTATAATTTTTTTTTCTTTTAAATCATAACTAATCTTAAAAAGACCTAACAAATCTTGATCTCAAATAAGTTAAATATTTAAGGATATTTTAAGATTTTTTTAATTTTTATATATCAAAGATGAACAACTTTTGTTACCAAAAAATGTGGACACAATTTTGAATTTACATCCCGTCCAAATATCAGTTTTATTCTAAAATAAAAATTGCACGTGGTTTTATCCAATTTGCTCACTTTTTTTTAAAGAAAAAAATTATTCAATAAGATTGGAAGAATTGGTTAAAAATTATAAAGCTATTTGTTTTCAAAATTTGTATCCAATTTGTACGGTTTTTAAGTTAATTTGTATTTAAAATTTTTTAAATAATTGACACATTTTTTGCATAAGAATCTCCAAATTTGTAACCAAAAAATATATGATTTAAATATTAGTAAAAAAAATAAAATATAATACAAAAAAATAGAATTCAAATTTTGTCATAAGAATCTCCAAATTAGTTACCAAAAAAATAAGATTCAGATTTTGTTACTAAAGATTCACATGTATTTTTTTGAACTTTCCATTAATAGTAAGTCAAAACATTATTTTTTAGGTCAACCTTACTATTTTTGTATTTTTCCAACAACTTCTTTATATTACTATAGATAAGTAAACTTAAGACATAAACTATAGCTTTTAAAAACAAACAACTCGTCTTACTACCAAACCAAAACCAAGGTTAGGGTTATTTGAACGAAAAAAAACTTATAAATTAATTAAATAAACTATTAATCTAATTTGTACTTACCAAACACACACTTAATTAATTTTAACCCAATCAATCATAATAATCATCATGCACAGCGGCCACACAATTAATTACACGAGAAAAAAAGTGCCAAAAAAAAGGATAGAGATGAGTACATACCGTTAGCGAGATCAAGCAGAAAATCAGCCGGATTCATGGCGAATCCCGGCGCGTACCCCACACTCTCGAAATACGCCATCGCCTCCGACCCCTTCCCGAAATATATGCTCCGACCATCCGACAGTACCAGCAGGTCGTCGAACATCCTGTGCACCCGACTCGACGGCTGGTGCACCGACATCACCACCGTCCTCCCACTCCCCGCCTTAGCCGCCGCCGCCACCGCCGCCACCAGCCGGTACGCCGCCGTCGCGTCCAGCCCGGACGTCGGCTCGTCCAGCACCAGCAGGCTTGGGTCCACCAGCATCTCGCGCGCGATGCTCACGCGCCTCCTCTCCCCACCCGACACACCCCCGACGGCCGTGTCCCCGCACTTGGTCAAGCCGAGCTCCGACATCACCCTCTCGGCGGCCGCCGCCGCCGACTCTTCGCCCGGAGAGGCTGGCGCGGGAAGCCTCAGCCGTGCGCAGAAGACGAGCGTCTCCCGGACGGTGAGGTGTGGGTGCAGGGCGTCGTCCTGGGCCACGAAACCGGTCCGCCGGAGGACGTGGCGCGTGGGGCCGGGCCGGCCGTTGTAGAGGACCGTCCCGGTAACGCCGCGGTGGAGGCGGCCGGCGAGTGCGTTGAGGAGGGTCGACTTGCCGCTGCCGGAGGGGCCCAGCACGGCCAGGATCCGGCCAGGGGACGCCCAGCCGGTGATGCCGCTCAGGATGGCGCGTGAATGGTGGCGGATCTCCGGCGGGTTCTCGATGTCTGTTGGAGGTAAGGATTTCGCGCCGCCGCCATGCAGCTTCACGCTGTACGAGACATCCACGAACTGTACGGACACGCGTCAGTTTGCAAAAATTGAGCACAAATTACCCAAAAAATAAAAATAAAAAATGCACAGATTGTGATCAAATTAACCCCAATTTTGGGAGATTTCAATCTATACGTTACCTTTTTTTCACCGTTAGATCAATATAAACTATGTTGATCTTATGGTAAAAACTATTATTACTACAATGCAGTCACAAATAAAGTTGAATTTTGCTACTAAACTTTTACCTTGAGTGTAATTGGGGAAGATGAAGTCCCTCCAGCTGCTGGATCACCAGAAATCAGCATTTTCTTTTATTTTTTATTTTTTTAAAATGATTATCTTTTTTTCTCAAAACTCTTTTTTTTTTCTTTCTAAATATATAAAAAGGACTAAATATGAAATTATCGTGATAGTGAGAAAGTAGCAAAAGGGAAAAAAATAGTGTGTTGTGAGTCCTTGTGAGCCCATAGGAATTGCGCCTCGGCCTCTATTTATTAAGTTTTGGCCCTTTTGGGCTCACAGTGCGCGCCACGTCACGGTGGGCCCGCCAGTGGCAATTTTATGCGTGGCGCTAAAAGCAGTAGGCCACCATTATGTTATGCGTGGCAGTGACAGAGCTAGAACACGTGTCCCCTATGTTTTTTCAGCCTTCCTTTGAAGGTGTTTTGGTGCGTGAAGTATGAGCTAGGTTTTTGTATTGTATAATAATAATGCTGGTTGCAAATTCAAGTTTTGGTGTCAAAAATAGTTTTATTATTTTTTAGATCAATTGAAGTTGAAATCTTATTACCCACTAAACTAGTCTTGTGGCCTGTGGTACGGAATTGATAAATTAAATGTTGTGATACAGTTCTGAATTTAAAATTTTTGGTTGGAGGTGACAAGTAGGTTGGGTTGGACCTGGCCAGTGTGGCCCAAAGAGGAAGATTGGGCTAGGTTGAGTTCACACTAAATTTTCTGATATCAATGTGTTTTGAGGCCCATTCAAAATATAATTCATAAAACGGTTAGGGCTGTTAATGAGTCGAGCCAAATTCGAGCTCCTGATACTCAAGCTCAAGCTTAATCGTTGAGCTTTAATCTCAATTCGGCTCGTTAATGAAATGAGCAGGTAAACGAACTCAAATTTAACTCATCTATCAATATAAGCGAGTCGAGCTAAAGAAATTTTATAAAAATTTATATTTATGATTTAAGTAACTGAAATTCAAACGAGTTCTAGCATTAACGAACTTGCGAAATCGTGTAAGCTTTCAAAGGTATGGGAGAGAAAGTTATGTGAAATATTTGTTATTTTAAATAGTCAAAGCATCAAAGCAATGTTTTCTAATGATATGTGTATCTATATTTTCTATCTTTAGCAAATTTTGGTTCTTTCTTACTCGACAAAGAGAGCGAAAAAAAAAGAGGTTCTCGCAGTAAGTGACGATTGACCCTTGAGTTGATGAAAAGAAAGAAAGGAAAAAATAAAAGCAGCTATACAGCTAAACAGCACCTATGGGAAAAGAGAAACATTGAATGACATATGATAGACTTGATAGTACTTCGTTCTAGTAACTTGCATCAATATTGTAATAATTTTTATTGCAACATTAGTTATTTATAAATGAACGATTCGAATTCCAACGGGGCCTTGAAGATCTATTGAGCCAAGCTATTAATTGAATCAACTTATAAAATGATCTCAATCTCGACTTATTCAATTCGAACATTATATTAACAAGTTGAGTATAAAATTTTTAATTATGAATTGAGCCGACTAATGGTCATTAAATAAACTCGAGCTCGGTACATCTCATTCATCGGATGAGTCAATTTAACGCCAACTCATGAATTACTCCTTTCATTTACTTAAATGGAGAAATTTGTGAACACATGGTATTTTTGTACATGCATAATTATATATATATATCGGGTAGTATGGTTTAATTGCTGATGGGTTGGTTAAAGTTTAAGAAAAGTCATAAAAGCTCAACAAGAAAATGATCCTTTGTGCGTGGGGGTTAGTTTTTGTATTATTTTGTAGATAATTTTTGTAGAACAAGTCGAGTTAGAGCATTTTAAACTTGTGTTTCAACGTTCATGATGTTTGAATGCTATTCATGTTTGTCCATTTTTGTTCAAAAACTTATATTTGAGATTGTTCGCAAATTATATATTTGAAAAAATTCGAGTTTATTCGTGTTCGAATAAACTAGTAAACAATGTTATTGGAATCGTTCGATTTACTCAAGATAAGTTCGTTTGAAATCTTTCGAGCTTGAAAAAAATAATAAAATATTCATACTTTAGACTTTTATTAAAACTATCATACAAATAAATATGAAAATATAGATTGGGTTCATGTTCGTTCAATTAACAAACGAGCCTACTGTTAAGTTCAAGTTTGATTGATTATAAACGAGCTAGTACGGTTCGTTCAGTTGGTTTGCATATCTATATCTTACTGTTCTATTCATATTATATATAGCACACAAATATAGAAGAGAACTATAAATTAATGATCTTTGGCCATAGTTCATGCATTTCACCCAATTTACTATAAAAGTCGGCTTAGAAAAATTCATGCAAATTAAATGACATACATATACTTATTAATTGAAATTTATGAATAAATAGTATTTTGTACCATATTCATTGCCCATAGCATATTATTTAGCTTATAATGGTATAGAACGTTATATGCCCATCTGAATGTAATATAATTATATAAGCCATTAATTTTTAAGGCAGCAATGTTTTGGTTCAAGACGACAAAAATTTAATATCACTCTTAATTTTATTTTAACACTTTTTTTTTTGCAATGCACGTGTGATGTTAATTTATGAAAAAAACTAGGTTTGACAGTCTTTGTGGTGGTTTTAAAGTTTAAACTATTATTTGCAGTGCCAAAATTTATATTTAATTAATTAATTTGTGCTATATAATATATACATATTCTCATTATATATATACATATGAACACCACATAAATAAAAGTATAGTCATTGTTTTGGCAGTTTGTCTAACAAACTCAATAAATTCTAAATAAGATCAGTAATATGAGGGATATATATTTCCGCTTTTTCAGTTGCTTTATTACGAGGGGAAGAGTTTCAGAATTCCGTTTTCAAGAATTCGTCTTACAATTCAGTGAATTTAGTCCTGCTTTTATTACATGCAAATTAATTATTTAATTATAAATTTCGATGGACCATACCATGATAGAGTTCAGAATTCCGTTTTCAAGAATTCGGTTTAGAATTCAGTGAATTCAGTCCTACTTTTATTACATGCAAATTAATTATTTCGAGGGGCCATACATAGAGTTAGAGTCCATTTATGTAACATTGAGCAATAAAAAGTTGATTGTAATTAATAGGAGGGGTTTAAATGTAAGTTGAAGTCTGTGCTACTGTTTTTATGATAAACGTAAATAGAGATGATAAACGGCTAACCTAGCCGGCTTTGGGCTAAACGATCCTAGCCTAAAAAGCTCGGATTTAAACGGACCACCGATAAATTGACTAACCTTAATCCTAGCGGGCCTCGGATTAAATGGACTATAATAATAATAATAATAATAATAATAATAATAATAATAATAATAATATATCCAAAAAAATATATAAAGAATCACAACGGCTAGTTAACTTAACGATTTTTTTTCCACGACTTTACTCTTTACCATTCTATATGCACAATTACACTTCAAATATGAATACACATTACAAACTCTTAAATAACATATTTTTTCTCAAAAGAAAAAAAAGCTCGAACTATTGCTTATAATTACCATTTTACTAGTTAGTTAGTACGATATGAGAATTTTCACGATATTGTATCATACTACTTAATTTATATTCTATCATTATATTCTATGTGTTAGATCTAATTTGTTTCATATGTTTATATTAGTCGTTCCAATTGGATTAAAGATTTTGGTGTGAAATAGAATAATAAAATTGTTAATACTTATCTTTCAAAATCACAATTACCCGTTACAGCTCATAATTGCACGTGATAGTATAACAAAATTGTAATACACAGGGAATGAATATTGGAGCATATTCCTTACCTGCTGCAAACATTTATACCGCTCAACCAAAGTTAAAAGGGCTAGCCCTAGCAGACTTCAGGCTAAATGGCCGAGCTTAAAAAGCCCAAATTTAAACGAACTATCAATAAAGAGCTCTAACTCTATTTTTTTCGGGCTAAACTGGCCGATTTGTCAGGCCAAAGACCATTTTTTTTTTTCCAAAGACAATAATATTATTCACAAAAGGCCAAAGACCATTTAACATCTCCTAACCTAAACAATAAGAGTTTGAGTTCTAAATTATTGATTATTAATATGGCTTTGCAGATTCACCGGGCATTAAGAAAATAAGGACTATTAAAGAAAACTTAACTATTGTAATTCTTGTCTCCATTTTGATCCTAAAATGCTACACAAAATATGATTAACCGAATTAAGCTCACCGTAACCAAAATTTTGATTCGGACTCAAACTGAAATCAAATATTTGGTTCAATTTTAATTTTAATTTTTTATAAATTTTGATTTTCAGTTCATTTGGATAACCGAATCGAATAGAAAAAGCGGAAAATCTATGTATAGGCACAATTTCAATTTATTTTTTCTTTCGTTTTCTATGGTTTGGCTTTTTAGTACTCGAATCAAACCGACCAATAGATTCTCAGTTTGAATCAAATTCAACCACAAATTTATGTTCGGGTTTGCAGTTCTCATTATTGGCTAAGCCGAAATTTAGATTAACCAATTTCGATTCAATTTGGTTTCCATGGACTGAACATATCTCCTTAACCTTAACCATAAAAAATCTAATAGCACATAAAATGAATAATCTCTATATTATTAGTGGTGTGTTTGGATGAGCATGCCAATTTCACAGTGGTGGACAGGAAAATAGGAAACAGACGCGTGTCAACTAATCGAGGGAGCAGCGAGTGGGATGCACATATTTCCCACTAAGATAACGTCACCAAATCGTCTTCCACTTCAAATTGTTCTTCCCTGATTCAATAATTAGTTAAATAAAAAGGTTTCCCGAAAGAATGAACGGCCACTCGCACGTACCAGCGCGTGCATATTTGTGAGTGAGTGAATGAATAACTGTGTCGGTTGTCACGTTGTCAAACGAGTCACTCGTAAATTTGGTTTATTGAGGTTTATTGAGGGTCGAAAATAGAATTTTAATATAATCTTGTTAAGGGTCGAATTTTAGTTATTAAGATTGATAAATAAACTATGTTGTAGCTCGTTTGTAAGCTCGGCTTGTTTACACATGTCGGTGTTGGTCATGGACCCATTTATGTGCCAAAATAACTTTGATGTTAGAATTTTATTTACCCAGGAACTCAAAATTAATTACTTTGTTAAAAAATAAAATATTTTACTTTATATTATATTATTATCAACATTTCAATGGGAATAAATATTTAAAAATAGTTTATTCGAAAATTCCCCTACAAAATTACTAATTAAAAACAAAAAATATCAAAAAAGGAAGTACTTTTTCTTAATTATATATTTTTGACTAATCAGTTGGAATAGTTATTTATTACTGATTCGTGCACAAAGCTGAAAAGGTTATATTGATGATAATGATTTAGAACTAAGTTCATAAATGTTCAATAGTAGGGAAGATTAGTGTTTGAGTACTTGCCAACATTAATCACAGTAATTATTTGCAATCCTTCGTTTGTTTGGAGCAATTATTATTTCCCAACACAATTATTGGTATAAGGTGATTTTGAACCTATCAATAAAAGTGTGGGAAAAATATTAAAATCATTGTCAAAATTGATGAGCTTCACCTTTCATTTCATTTTATTTTTTTAACTTTTTTTTTATTATATATATAATTCATGCCTGACTTTACAAAGTTTTATGGAGCTTGAATTGAGTAATAACTGAACAAGTGTTAGGTATATTAAAATCCAAAGAGTTCGAGCAATAAAGAAAAGGCCACCAAAATGTACTCATTTTTTGCCATATGCAAATGGTAAAAATTCCTAATGAAATAAAGAAATGAATGTGCATAAAACAAATGAAATGAAATAAAAATATGTTATGACCTATAATTAATTCTACAATCGACTAATTAAACTTCTAATATTTTAGAAGCAGAATTATTTCGCCTTAAACATAACCATATCATTAAGTTTTAAATTGATGCAATTTTAACATTCCTCCAAATAATAACCTCAAACTATACCCGTAGATTATGAAATCGGAAAAATTGAAAGTATATAATATAAATATGTTGGTTCATGACAAGACAATATAAATAAATAATACTTATACTTAATATTATATTTATTTATTTATATTACAGTTTTGTGCATAATGTACCAATTTGTCGTCGACAGTTTGAATGTGGGCCTTACATGGGTCATGACTCATGTGCTTATGTTAGGCTGGGGTTTGATCTCCCTCTCAAATGGATTGCGAAATGTCCATTCAAAAAAATGGAACCGGCCCACTAACCGAACTAATAGATTAGGACCTGGGTTGGCCCAACTCATTCATATGAACAACCATAACCGATATTTCCCGTTGTAAAGAGTGGTTATGATCAAATAAATAATTACGTATATTAATATATTGGTTACCATATTGATGGAAATTTCCCACATCAAATTAGTAATTATAAGTACAATTTTCTTGTTAGTTGTTACATGTCTATAGCACGTAGACTTGCAACTTACATTCACTTAATTACTACCCTTAAAAACGTTGGAAAGTTATGTCAGCTTCAGTCCATGTACTCTGCTTTTGTGTGCCACTGCCTACTTAACACCTTTTAATTTGTTGAGGAAAAAAATTACGATATACTTTAATACTTAATATCAGTGTTCTAAAAGTCGCTAGGCGGCTTTTGACCAACGCCTAGGTGGGGCCTAGGTGGCGTCTAATTGGAGCCCAAAAATCAATATTAAACACCTTATTTTTTATTTATTTTATCTACCTACAAAATAAAACTATCTCAACTTAAAATAAATTCACACACCAAAGTCCAAATAGTAATATTATTATATATTAAAGAAAACATGAGAACAAAATAATGTAATTATTATTTAAAAATAATTAAAAAAAAATAAAAAATTACCGCTGAGCCCGCCAAGCCCGCCTAAGAGCGCCTAGGGCCGCCTAGCTGCCTGGCTGATTTTTTCTGTCGATTTGTGCAAATCGGAGGCGCCCGGACACCGCCTAGCGTCTAGGTGACCGCCTAGGCCGATTTTTAGAACATTGCCTAATATTGTTTCACATATAATTTACAAGTGTACACATAAAATTACAATATGTGTAAATCAAATGTTGAAAGAAAATATGTGCATGAATATATATAGTTTCACATTTTGATTGTAAAAATTCGGAAATGCCTACCTACCAACTGCAGACAGAATAAAACGAGATCACTAGCAACGTATTAAGATCAATGATTAATCTTTTGTCACATCAGCTGGTGAGCACTTTAAGTCGTCCTACCGTACGCATGAGAGTGAGATTTTATACAAATTAATTAAACTCCCAAAACACAAATTTGGATAAAACTTGAGATAATAGTGTAACTTTCACTAAGATTGAATAATTATTTTTAAATAAAATGGTAAGTAAGATTTTGATATCACACCGGAAGGTAATCAATGGAGGCTTAGCTTTGAATAAAATAAGGACCCAAAATCCCCCTAATTCATGGTCAAATTGACCATTCAGTCCCTAATCACCCCTATGCTTAACGGATCACAAACTTACAACTATTCATTACATACATTTCACACTCTTCACAACAAGGGCATTAATGAAATATCAAAATCACACCAACTTCCCCACTATTTTTTCCCCCTTTTGTCTCCTTCTTTATTAATTTCTCCAACCTCAATAATTTGCTAGGGCCCCTTTGTTATTTTATTATATACTAGTATCACTTTCAACCCTCCATTCACCTATACAAGCTTTTAATATTGAAAACCTAGACTAAGGCAACAACAAGTCATCCAATATTTATACACTAGCCACAAAGCACAAATATGAACAAACACAAAGCAACCAAAACAATAAGCCTTAAGCACACAACACACAACACACAACACACGCACACACCACATCTTCTTCCAACCAAGAACAATGGCCTCAAATGCCAAAATCCTTGCAAACGAGGAATTTGAAACCACAAACCATACACAATTTTCCCGCCGTTTCGCCGTTTTCAAACGCCGTTGTTTTCATCAATGTTTTCTGACCATCGGGATTCATCGTCGTTGTCATCATCATCATCATCATCATCATTCTCTTACATTGAGGATTATCCGACATTTAGTCCGACTCCATTGCTCGAATTCAAAGGCAATATCCCATTTTCTTGGGAAAAAATCCCCGGGATCCCAAAGCACCAATCAGAGTCGAACAAGAAGGAATATTCCGGGCATCTTCTCCCACCGCCGCCCACCGGAAGCTCCAACTCCTCCGGCAAGAAGTCGATCCACCGGGAAGAGGTGATCTTCTCCAAGAAAAGCAATAGGTTCGAAAACGACCCATTTTTCGCTGCATTGGTTGAATGTTCTAAGGATGGTAATGATGATAGCTCTAAGAACATTACAAGAAGCTTGAGTGATAGGTTTTGTTTCATGAACTACATTTCATGCATAAGGGCCTGTGTGGCTTCAGAATCGATCGTCTGTAGCCGATCAAGACCGAGCCCGCATTATCTTCTTAGTCGTCGATCGAGCTAAGTGTGACTTTTATTTAGATGGTCGTCCAATAAATTCTATATTAATAATGTTTCTCACTCTAATATTTTCCTCCTAATTTCTCAATTTTAGTTCTACTTTGATCAACATTGAATGTTGTACTTTGTATGAGAAGCCATATGTTGTTCCCAAGTCATGTACATGTAAATTTAGTGCTTTAATCACTATTTGATCACAAAACATGAACACTTGTCATTTATCTATACTTTGTGAGATTGCTATTATGCAATGGCATGTGATATTAATTCATATAACTGGGATTGGAAATTTGAGTAAAAATTACTAAAACCCATGTGGGAGTGTAAATAAGTATTGGAAATTGGGAATATTATAATATGGACCGCCTTTGTACATTACCTAACTAATTATATATTACCATTTACATATAGCATCTTTCTTAATTACGGACAAATGGGCTAAAGATATAGGAATTAGGTGAATTTCGCTACACAATAATGTTCAGAAAAAATGTTATTTTTGTCATAGTCAAAGTGATCCGAAGGGGCCAAACTCTATAGTCTCCTTTTCATTGAGATTATAGATTCGACCATTGAGATCGTATTAAATAAAAGGTATCCCTTGAGAGTTCATATATAAACGATCCTATCCCGTTTAAAATTCGTTTAGTTAACCAACTAAACCAAGCTGGTAATTTAGGATATTTTTTTAACTTTTAGCTTAATGCAAGACATATTGATAAACTAGTAAAGACAAAATATATTTATCGGCTCATTTAATTAACGACTCAAACTGGAATAAATAAAGGCATGAGGACTTGAAAACTCTAGTATTATGAGATCAAACTTGACTGGATTCATTAACAACTCTAATTATGATGATGATAAAATAATAACCAATGAATTATAGTTTTGTTAAATACAATATTGGAAATATTAAAAATTCATCACATAGAGATAATCCAATTAGGACACGTGTATTTATATCTGTCCAAAGTGTAGTGTATTTATTGTAAAACACATGTCAATTTGTTAATAACTGTAGATGACTCCATAAGTCGTGTAACTTCATAGTGAAACTGATCCAATTATATTTTATTTCACTTAATTAACCGTCATTATTGAATTTTGTAAAATGTCGGTTAATTAGTAGTTGTTGTGATTATTGGCGAATTATTTGCAACACTAATACTCGGTTTAATTTTGGACGCGAATAAGATTTGCCACGACACCAACGTTCAGTCAACGCCTCATATTATATATTTCAGATTAAATATTGTTTGTTTATTTATAAATTTGTTTGTACGCCTTTGTATGATTCTCTCTGAGATAAAAATAGGCAAAATGTTATGGCTGTAGTTTGTTATTGACTCTAGTAGTGATGATGCTTAATTAATTTAATTTATCAAGGAAAAAAATCAATATTATATCATTACTCTCACACTCGACTGATTTATTCATACACAATATCTGAGTTTTTTGAATTCCATTTTTTAAAGATAATCACATCAAAACAAAATAGAATGATTTTTTTTTTTTCAATAATTTGTTAGTGCCTCTTATATATAGACCATAAAGGGCAATAATAATGGCTTTGAGTCTAGTATAGTTAAAGTTTCAGCCGTTCATATTTGACTAAGCATTCGTTTAACAAATGAATTGGTTGGATTCAATTTGACTTGTTTAACTTTGATAAGTAAACGAATATAAGACTCGGCTCGAGCTCAACTTCTTTAAATTCATGAAGCTAGGCACGACTCAGATCGTTTAATAAACTTAAATACCTAAACGAGCTATTCACGAATACAAAATATTCGTTATAATGAATTTAGCTGGGCTACTTCATTTAAAACTCACGAAATTAGTAAAAAAAGTTAAAACAAAATAATGTATTTGTGAACAAACTTACATTTATAACAAGTGATTTGTATTCGAGCTCGACGCTTCAAGTAAACGAATGAGTCAAACTTGAACTTTCACGAGTGGTATTCCCAAACAACTTGATTCAATAGCAATTCTAAGTTCACCCTTCTATTCAATTGGATATGATGATGAAAAAAATATAATAATAATAATAATAATAATAATAATAATAATAATAATAATAATAATAAGAAGAAGAAGAAGAAGAAGAACAACAAAATTACCAGCTCAAGTTATCCGGTCCGTGGGTCATGGGCCAGTTTCATGAACCCGATCCAATTTGGTTGGGTCCAGTTCTGTCTGCCGACAGACAGCGTGGGCCAGTAACCATACATGTACTTTTTTTTTTAACGTGTTAGCGTGAAACATGCATGAAATGTTACAATTTCCTTTATGATTATGTCCCTTTTAGAGGTTTAATTAAATTTGTATCAGTTTATATATTTAATCATACTAACGTCAGATGGTCAATTTATATTTAATTACCTTCGCAAATGTACTGCTGCAGATGTCTTCAATTTACGTATAAATACTACATATGCATTAAACAAATGTAAGATTTTACAAGCCACCAACTAATTATAATTAATATACAACTTGTTCCTCCACTTTTAACATTTTTTACTGATTTAACGTGAATTTATTTAATTCAACTTCATGTGAAAAATTTGGCTTCCACATAGTGAAAAAACCTCTTGAACGTTGAGATGGTAATAAATAGTTCTTAATTTCTTATGGTCACTTAATTTGTGGTGCAATATGTTGCTCGCCATCTGATCTGATCTGGACCCTAACGCGAATCTGTTGATTCAAACCGCTTCGAAGTCTTCGATGACCTCCAAAACACCGGTAGGGGTGCTGTGGAAAAAAGCTCCGACGCTCAAGTCAGTCCGTGTTCAACGATAATATGACAACAGTATATTTTGAACGTGTATGTGTGTTGTGTAAAAATAATGACCTCATGCATGCCCTTTTATAGTCACGATTGTGGGCTGTACCAGGGACTCCTAGTAAGATAAAAACTCGTCCTTCTTAGCTAACTGCATCTTCCCGTATCTTCAATCTTCTAGATGATGTATATACTTCCCATATTTAAGGGATTCGATTTCTTCCTAGTCAACTCTCGCAACCATGGAGGTCGTCGCAAGACCTGAAGGGGTTCTGAGGCCGTCACCAAATTAGGGATCCTGATGTCGTCGTTCTACCCCTCAATCATGCCTCGCGTGCTACAAGCAACATAGTCACCGAGGTTAGGCTTACATGTATCATCGACCTAACATGTCCACAAGGTTGTGTCGAACCAGTTAGGCTCCCATGCTACTAAGAGCTCGTAAACCCACCACATGCTAGCATGCGGATCACTTAGACGTCCTATTTCGGAGGTCGGCCCTTCTGCAGCCAATCCCGCTCGCACCCGGCCTAGCATTCACCCAAGCCGAGCTGAGACACCATTGGTCCTTGCGACCAACACTATCTTGCTACATCCTTATGTTTTGAAAAGTTAGCGAAATGATGTTAGATTTTGAATGTGGATGGTAATATATAGTTCTTGGTAATATGTAGTAGTTCTTATGGTCACTTGTGGTGAAATATGTTTTGAAAAGTTGGCGAAGTGATGTTAGATTGGCTGGTTGAACTCCTATATTTGATGCATCACATTTATTAATTAATTTTTATAAAAATAGTATTCAATTACATTTGTGTGCTTGAAAAATATTAATTTAAAAAATGTCCATATCTTGAATATTGAAATACTTCATTAATAAATACACATAACAACTATTTTTTATAAAAATAGTATTCTATTACATTTTTATACTTGAAACATATTAATTTAAAAAATGTCAATATAGAAATCTATACTTATATAAAAAGAATAACTTTTTTTAAAAATAGAAAGTTAAATTTTTAGTCAAACTTTGTTAGCATTAATTAATTTCTATTACTAGCAAATTATTACTTTGTTTCCTGAATTCACGCGAGCAACATTANTTTTTTTTTTAACTTTCTTCTCAAAATCGCGTACTGCATTTTCAATCTCCGTATAATGAGGCGTGTGTTATCTATATTTTCACATAAATCGGTTGTCCATTTTTTGATTTCACACAATCTGAATAAAAAGGTAGTAATTTTCATCGATCCAATTACTGATATTTTTATAAATATTATAAGCTAACAATACATCCTCGATAACAACGTAAAAAGTATAATAATAATTGTGTATAATCAAATTTTTTTAAATGCGAGTAACGCCATAAATTCGGTATTCTTTTTTAAATTATGCTTATATTATTTTAGATACTTTAAACAAATTGTTTAGACATTTTTTTTACATATTCGTTTATATATACATATATATATTTATATACATATACACATATACATAATTGATGTTAAATTTAAATATTTGTAGACATGTTTTATTTACAGAATAGTCTAGAAAAATCTTTTTTATACAATGTTAAATTCAAATGTTTTTAGATATGTTTTCCTTCTAAAATTGTTTAGAAAAGTTGTAGGTGATTTCATCTTTCAAAAATAATATAGGAAATTTTAAATACTTTTACATATACTAATATAATATTTTAGCTGTTTTTAATATTAAACATACAAACTTTATATTCTCTTATACAAAATAATGTCAATTTTATATTCTCTTATACAAAAGAGTTTTATATTGTTTGACCCCGAATCTTTAATTTATAATTATTAAGTATTGTTTATCCTCCTCTTTAATTTATAATTATTTTTTTTCTTCCTCTTTTTAAATAGGATCAATAGCAGTTTCTACTTCTGGTATTGAGTGACTCAAACTCGAAGTCTATTTATAATATTGTTAATTTAATATTGTTCCCGTGCATCGCACGGGTACACACTAGTAATCCATTAATAAATATACATAATAGCTCATATTGTTCTTGAAATCACCCGCGATAGCATCACATCTTGCACCAAATTCTAGATTTTCTTACAACGGAGATAATGAAAGATGAATGACGTATAAAATATAAATAAATACATAATAGCTCATATTGTTCTTGAAATCACCCGCAATAGCATCACATCTTGCACCAAATTCTAGATTTTCTTAAAACGGAGATAATGAATGATGAATGACGTATAAAATATAAATAAATACTCAGCATTTTAACAGATACTCTCACAATTTGCTGGTCAATAGCACATCAGTTTACTCGGCAAATAGAGTAAGTTTTAGCATTTTTTTTTTTTTTCCTAATTTTTTCCCAAGTACACAGCACCTTTCTTAAATACAATGTCAGACAAATTCAAGATAATAGACGAATATGCAATTTGATTTATAGCATGTAATTAGTTGATTTGGTACTTAAACTAGTCATTTTCGCCGGAGGGAAAACGGTATTTTCACAGCATGGAGCAAGAATATGGAGTGAAGCCCACTTTAAAGCACTACGGGTGCATGGGAGTAAATGGCGTCAAAACGTCTATATTTATTAACTATTTATATTTTTACAAGTCATTTTGCAGCATTATTCTTTGTACCTATTATTTTATTTTTTATACAAATCTTTTTACTTTTGTACGTGATTGTTTAACTGACGGTTACAAATTAGAGAAGTTGTTCCCTTTCGACATCCATGATCCATCAACATCTTCCCTCATTTTATTTATCTCCACAGGCACCCCCTTTACCAGTTTATCTTTCTTAGATTTTTCACTACGCGTCACTTATAATCTGCCCACCGTCATCGGATTCTTCACAAAATAAAGCTCCGGCGGCATTGTAATCTGAGGTAGATCGGATCAGAGAGGAAGAGGAAAGGGGTCTCCTCGTGTGGCCCCATAAGGAGGAGTTTCTGCAGGTGCTTAAGGCCAATCAGACCCTAATTCTTGTCGGTGAAATTGGCAGATACAGGCGGCCAGATCGGTTAGCGACTCAAGGATTAGGCGCAACAGCTAGTGAAGGGGCGATACGGTATGACTGGTGTTCTTGGCCCGATCGCCAAGGAGCAGGCGAGGCATCGATACTTTCGGGTTGAACGTCATGGATGAGCAAAGGGGGTTACGAGTTGCAGACTGAATAGTGATTGGGAGTAGATCGGTGTTTTTCAGTTGTGATGCTGATTCCAGGCTGAGGTGCCTTGTTCGATTTTTATGATATTCGTGGGTTGTTAAACAATGGTTGTGAGTGATGGTTTGAGGTTTTTGAAATGGTGATTAGTGTGTGGTTGTTTCTTTGTACGAATTCACAGAGATATGATATTTGGTTGTGACATGGTTAATTTGAAATTTCACTAAGTTGGTTTTTGGTTTCTAATTGGTTGTATAAGTGCAAAATAACATGTTTTATACCAATTTTTTTACAATTCAAACTGATTCTGGTGGGTGTATATTTGTTTAACATTCTATATACATCAACTGTCAAAGAATATACATGTATATATACATATATATAATTAATTAAAATGTATGGTATACATGTTTCTTTCTAACACAATCTAATGAGTTGGCAATAAATCGAATCCTTTTTTACATATGATATTCTTTTTTTATGATTTCTTGATGTAACTATGTTTTTGTTTCCTTTTCAATCTCTGTTATCTATTTTAGAAATTATAATTTTTTTCATGATTTTTTTTTCTGGATCTAGACCTATAAATTATTGTTTTAGCAATTCTTTTGCAAAACGGTTGGCGATTTGATAAGTTTTAATTCAGTTTTTTCTCAATCACGTATTTTTATAAGTCTTCTATGCATTTTTCTAAATGATTGGTGAAGTTGGTTTTTCTATAATGTACTGTTCAATAGTAGGTAGTTGTCTAATTTTCCCGGTGCATGGTTGACTTGTTTGGGTGGGCTGGGCTATTGGAAGAAGCATACAAGTTGTCCTAAGAGCACTCACAATACTTTGAGTCTCTTTAAAAAAAGTCACATGCCATGTAGGAAATAGACCTAATTTATAAAAAAATATTTCACAATGCAATTAAAAGTGGACCTAATCTAGCTTATGTGACAATAAAAAAAAGAGATCAAGTCCACTCTTGAGTCTATTTTGGACCCAAGTGTGAACCTTACAATAGCAGTCATTTACTATTATTATATTTTTATTGATTGTTAGGTATTCTAGACTTAGTACTTTTTTTTTTTTTGCATTGGATATATTTTGGATTTTTTAGCTTGGGTTTGTCCATGTCATTATAGACTTAAGTCTATTTATTTGCCACATATACAAAAAGAGACCCAAAGCATTGTGGGTGCTCTAAGTACTTACTCTTCAAATACGTTCAGTCTAACCCGAGTAGCGCACGACACGCGTTCAAAAACCCTCATATCAAAGCCTGGAAGAAGGGTTGTAAATGAACTAAATCAAAGCATGCACAAGACATTACAAACCACTCAACCCAACAATTCAAAGTCCAATGTCCAAAATTCGGCACTTACATCAATTTAAACACATCTAAACAACATTCGTAACCACTAACCAACAAAGTGCTCTAACCTCAAAATTTTAACAGCACAAAATGAATTTAAAAACGAACAATTAAACCAAATATCAGATTATATTTTTAATTTTTGTAAAGTTATTTATTATAAATCAATATTATATTTTTTTTCATCTCGTTTTGCAATTATTTTTTAAACAAAATAATTAATTTTAATGATATAATTAAATCTCTTAAAATTACATAAACAATTACTATAATAATAATTTTAATATTTTTTTTACTAATTAATAAATTTACATTATTCAATCACACATCTACATAACAAATACATAAGCAAGTTACTTTCCTCAGCCTTGCTGGCGAGTTCTGAGAGCTTCGATGAGTGGAGCTTCTCAAACAAAAAATTCATTCTCTCCCAACCTTGTAGTCTCCATAACTTTTGGAAATTAGTATTTACTATTGAATATCTATTATAATTTCACTCTATTCTATCCTATAAAATACATATGTTTAACATGTAGTATCAAATAATTTTGTTTAACACGTAAGTAATTATATTTTATTCGCTTCATATATATATATATGCATGGTAACATCTTAACTCAATAAATCTCATCTATATCTTTCTACTATTTAATAATATCATCCATTGATTAATAACTCATTTATATCTTTCTACTATTTAATAATATTTATTTATAGTTCTCTAAATTGTTCTCACATTTCTTCTCACCTTTCCTTTATTATTGGGAGAAAAGAAAAAAAAAAAGAAAACATATACAAATTCATCATCATCAGCAGCACCAAGAGGACATCATCTTGCTGACATTATCAGCAAGCACCAAGTGTTGTTGTTCGTCACTAAAGTCCTGCGCGTATTCGTTTTCTTGCACCTTCTTTTCTGGATGCCTAGCTTGATGCACTTGGAGTTCAATTCCACCCTCTCGAGCATGGGCGAAACCAGAAAATTTGTTGAGAGGAGGCAAAAGACATAATATAATTCATAAAAGATAACAAAAATGCATAAAAAAAAGTTACCTTATAATTACAACTAATGTGTGGCCCGTGCGATGCACAGAAAAACAATATTACGATTCTATTATGAGTTAAATATATAAATAACATTAATCATGATTTACCCATTGTTTTTAAATTAAATTGGGTTGGACACACTCCGAGAACTGGTTTATAACCAGTCTAGTTCGCTTGAATAAAATATTTCCTGTCGAATCCGTCAACACCAATCGGTTGGACTGGTAGAAACGATAAGATTTCCTAAATAAATTTTGTTACATTTAATTTTTTTTATATAAAATTACATATTTAAATAAAATAGAGATTTGTAAATTGTTTATCAATAGTGAGCATCCCGTGCGATGCACGGATAAACTTGTTTCTTAAATTTATTTTATTTTCTAAATTTATTTAAATATAATTATTTATATTTAAACATCTCATTAAGAAAATAAAAGAAACACTATATATAAAAAATCATATATTATTGTAAGATAATGTTTACAAATTAAATGTGTGTATAATACATAATAAAATTTACTATAATTAGTTGAAATTAGATCTAGAGATATTACGAATTTCATGTAAGATCGGATCTACTTGTTCCTTGATTTGGTTTTTCTATATTTATTTAAATATCTCATTGTGGAAAAAAAGGAAACAAAATTGAAAAACATATATTATTGTAAGATAATGTTTACAAAATGTTTGTATAATACATAACAAAATTTGCTATAATTAGTTGAAATTAAATCTAGAATATGACGAATTTCATGTATGATATTTTGCCAAAATCAACGGTAAAAAAAATATTTTCCATTGACGACTTACGTCAATCATTTCTTGATTACATTTCGATAATTTGATTCTTCTTCTTCANTAAGCGATAATTACAAAAATCATCAGTATCAAGAAATTTTCAATTCTTTGTTGTGACTTAATTTGAGTTTCAATTTCAATATCATAAAAATACTTTCAGTCACTATCTAAATTCATAAACAAATTAGAACAATTACCTAAAATTAAAGAGAAATCGAGCCTAGGTTTTCTATTAATAATTTTAATATTCTTCTCCATATATAAATTAGTTATCCGTTTTACTATTTAACTTATAAACATTTATCATATATAAATCATTATAACCTTCGTATTATTATTATTATTTATGAAATATGTCGGAAATAAATTCTTAGATTAATAAAATATAATGAGAAAAAAATGCAAAATTACAAACCAAATGCAAAAATTGAATCAAAATTTGGACACACAATATGTCAAGTACATCATATACAAAGTAAAAATAAGGAATTTTCATGAGATCTCTTGGAGGTTTGATGCTTAATCATAAAGATAGAAGCTTTGAGGTATTGATATCCTAAAATCAAATAAGTACTTTTATAGCTAATACACTTATAAAATCACCACTCTTTTTTTTTTTTTTTNCTTTTACAGCTAATACACTTATAAAATCACGACACTCTTTTCTTTTCTTTAAGTATATCAATTCTGTTGCACACACTACTAATTCTCAGCTATTTTGGCTCTAATACACACACTAAATATTAAAAGGTCGATATTAAATCAGGTAATTATATCAAAATCTAATCATTTTTTTTTCAAGATTGAGCAAAAAAAATTCAAGCTAACTCAAATAAGCATCAAATAAAATACTCAACTGTGCGCTAGAGGGGTCCGGTCCGGAGGGCCAAGAGCTTGCCCTGCGTCAGCCCTTTGACTGGGTCGCCTATGGTTTGACAAATTCGTAGAGGGGAAAGGTCTGCGGCTTCTTCTCCGTCTTGGTGGCAGCGGCGGCGGTGAGCAATGGGAAATTCGACTAGAATAATGTCAAGTAAATTTTTTCCCTACCAAACTTCTATTAAGTATGGCAGAGACAACATATATTTCTCGCATTAAATACTACACATCGAATACTACTGAAATTAATCAAAATTGGATAATCAAAATTGGATGATCAAATCTTCCAGCATACAAGAATATTAATATTCACAGCTAATGAATTAATAAACAAACAATTCATCAAGATATAATCACAACAAAGTACCTAAAACCAATTTTAACCCAATAACAACCAATAACCAAAACATCTTCATTAGCTATAGCAGAACTAAAACTACATGTGCAACTTTGCAATTAATCATAAAAAATATATCTTTATAAAAGCTTACCTCTAGCAAGCCTGTCAGTATTTGAAAATGGAGCCGAACCGTGAACCATAGCCTTTACTTTTTTTTCATGAAAGATGTTTCAAATCAAAACTTGCATAACAAATTAGAAGCAATGTTAGGAATACACGTATTTATCGCAAATTTTCACAAAAAATTCAAACAACAAAACACAGTACGGCCAAGCCACCAATTCAATTACCCACAATCGAAAAAACAAAAAACACAAAGGTTAAAAACCACGGATATACAACAATCATTTCAGTAGTGTAACTTCAAATGAAGAGTCATAGATTAACCATAATATTCAAAATAAGGGAAAAAAACTAATAAAAAGACAATAAATTGAATTCAAATCAGGAAACAACACATTAACTTCAACTCAATAATTAATAAACACAGACACCTACCCAAACATAGACACCTCACTGAATCTAGCCGGAGATGACTTCTTACCGGTCACCCAATTGTCGGTCTCGTCAGCCCTAGACGGAGTAAATTCTCAATCGCCCTCGTGATTGAAGCCTTCCCAATGGCGAGGTTGCTCGTCCCTGATCCCCACGCCGTAAGATCTGAATTAGTCGCCGATTTTCGATCGAGGTCCTCAACGGTGCGCAAACTGGGTACGGTCAGGAGGGCCAGGAGCTTGTCCTGCGTCCGGCCCTTCGCTGGGTCGCCTCCTTCTTGACAAATTCGGGAAGGGTATGCGTCTTCTTTTTCGCTTTGGTGGTAGCGACACTGATCTATGGGAGTTCCGACTGAAAGAATGTTCAGTTGCGATGAATTAAAAAGATTCTAGGGAAGTTAGATAAAGATATGGAAGTTAAAGATAAAGATTAATCCTTTTATTAAAAAGTTTGAATTTAAATTTTTGACCAAAACTTTTCAAAATATGCTTGGGGGAATTTCTGAAAATTTTCAAATAAAAATGCTATCTTTAGTAAATTTTTAGGCGGGAATTTTAATTATTTTTTAGTTACTATTTAAAAATTTTTTAATTTCTCTCTTTATATAATAATAGATTGGTGACCTTGTGATGAAGTTTAAAAACAAAAAAAGTGGGGTGCAAAAAATAATTTAAGAGGGGGACAAATTAAAATTTTTAATTATAATAGTAAAAAAATTAAAATTTGAGGGAGGCAATTGCCCCCTATTGATACATGTAAATTCGCCCCTGCTCTCGAGCCCGGATTCGAAAAAAAATCTATTCTAATGACTCGCTCTTGGTTCTGAGGCTGAGCTATGTTACTCTACTCGACGTTGCACTGGACTTCATCATGTCCGGCTATTTGGGCCTTTGCTCGTTGAGGATGGATTACTGTGAGTTTCATAATTCGAAATTGCACATACGTGGGCCCAACGTTCGACTGGATCATTTAAAGGAATGCAGTGGAGTGTAGGAGATCAAGCTGCAGTGTGCTAGCAATCTTGTTACGTTCGAGTTCAAGAGTAGTAAAATGGTCAAGCTCGTATTCGACAATGTCCCTTGTCCGCGGAGATTGTACATGATGTCTCACGAACAATTTATGCATCAAGTTCTTGTTAGACTTCCCTTTGTATTGCCTAGCTCCCTTTGTGTTATGCATCAATTTGGTTAGCAACTAATTCAAGCTTATACAACATGATTGGATATAAAAAATTTTGGTTTTGTTTGGATTTTTTTATTTGATTTGGTTAGTTGTTAGTGGATATATTAGAATAATATTTAAAATAAAATAATTAAAGTTGATTTGATGTAAAGTAGGAGAGAGAAGATTTGAAGTGATGGTTAGCTAAAATTATGTGAGTGGATGAATAGTGAATTAAGGTAAGGTGGTGTGTAAGAATGATTGATTGATATTATTTAATTATATTGATAATATTGATGATAGTGAAGTTGAGTTAAAAAAAGTGGTTCAGTTAAAAATGTTTGGATTTTGTTGAGAAATTTTGTATCCAACCATGCTATAGTATTCCTTTTTTTTTTTTGGTACAAAGCTTATAGTATTCCTTAGAAAGTGTTTTTGTTGTTTAAAATATCAGTTATTTATCAGTTTTATGAAAGTTTTTGTTTAAAATCCGTACACAATCATGTATTTGTTTTAATTTGAGGGAAAATGAGACATTTGGTCCGGTAAGTTTATGCTTTTTTATTTTGGTCCTCTTCAAATCAACTTTTTATATTTGGTCCGTTGTCTTCAAAAATTGTAGCAATTTCGTTCTTTTTCGGCCCAACGGGCCAATTTCTGCAGTTGAATCCTACGTGGACCGAAAGCCACCAAAAATAAAAAATACTAGCTGATGTGGCGAAGGTAATGCCTCAAAATTAAGCCCTAATTTCCCTAATTTCTTCCAATTGCCCTAATTACCTGAATTTGGGAGGAATCTATTTTCCTGCGTTTAATTTTCCATTTTTCTAAAACATTAAACCGAGAAAAAAAAATGGCAAATCCAAAATTAATGAAATTACTCAGCATGAGAGCAAGGGTTGATGACACTCTATCTGCACATCGCAATGAACTCGTCTCTCTCCTTTCCCGGTATTTATTTCCATTAATTATCTCTCAATTTCTTACATTTATTCTTTGTTCTTACAAAAGGGTCTGATTTGCAATTTCATTTTATTCCCCCGCCCGACTCGTTCTTTGTCCATCGGCAACGGTCTTCCAATTGCCTCAAAAAAGGAAAATGGAAAAAAGGGCATGTGTTCATTAAATTAGTTCTTGTGCTTTTTTCCCACACCTACAAAATACAATCGCCCTTAGACGAGCAGACGATGAAGAAGAAGATGGCATTGTTGTTTTTTAGAAGCAAGAATTAAGGCTAGGATCTTGTTAGAACAAAAATCGAGTAAATTGATTTTGAATCGCCTTTTGATTTACGGGAAAACTCAGAAGCAAGAATTAGGCAAATAAAATAGGGATGAATTCGACTTAATTCTGAAATTAGGGAAATTGAAATTTTCTCAAGAACTCCCCCGACCAGCTATTTATATATATAGGTGAATTGTTTTTTTATAAGGTATTGATTTTTATTTGTTGTATTTCTTGTGACTATTCTCTATTTTATTTTATTTTTTGGAGTCAATCCATGAATATTGATTTTATTGCATGAGAATCTATTTTTTCAGACTCCTTGTTTAATCTTGATTAATTCATAATCTCATGTTATTGGTGAGATTTGAATCTATTGGCATGCCTCCATTTACATGACAATCAACTACCAATTAAAAAAGTATTAATTGTGTTGGTTCCATATAAAAACTAATAAAGTGCTATATTATTTCATTTGGTTTTCAAGTTCACTAAAAAATTTGGTAATGACTAAAGTTGTTTAAGGAAAAGGAGCAGCTAGTTAGTTCTATTCGACTCGTTTATCTCTCAAGTTTTTTTAAAAAGAAAATGAGCCGCTAGTTAGTTCCATTAGGCTCGTTTATCTCTCCAGTTTTTTTAGAACTTCGTTTAGTATTTAAAGAGTCAAGACGTGCTCAACTCATTGAGATTCGTAATACTCGATAATAAAAAATTTTACATAATTTTTATTTTGTAAACGTTTAAATTTAACTTATTAATATTAATTAATGAATGTGAACTTCAGCTTGATTATTGACTCATTTATAGTTAACAAGTCCGAATTCCGCAACCCGAGCTCCAACTCGACTATTTAGAGATGATTAAAGCTAATCCCTCCTCCCGCCTAAACAAAGGTCCAGCGTCCAATCCAGGAAAATGGCGCCAGCATTTTCATGGCTCAAAACAGACGAAACAGCAAAAGAGGCACTCCTCAGGATCCTCACGGAGCGGCCATCCGTCGTTTTGCCGCCGCCGCTCCACCGGCTACCCCTCCGAGCCGGCAACGTCGTCGAGATTGCGGGGCCATCTCCTTCCGCCAAAACCCTAATCCTCACTCAGGTGAAACGAGTAATTGAAGAATTTCCATCTGCAATTGCTATCTTGGCCTCGAACATCTCATAATTTATGTAGCGTTTCTCCTTTTTTCTTTTCTCTCAGGCTGCGATTAGCTGTGTTTTGCCTAAAGAACGTAATGCCGTGCAATACGGAGGTCTTGAGCGCAATGTGTTCTTTATCGATTTGGACTGTCGTTTTGATGCTGTGAGCTTTTCACGTGCTCTAGAAAGCCGAATTAATGGGGCTAATGGTAAAATTTGTTGGTGTAAACTAGAAGAAACATTTTACTGATCGTAGATTGAGCTTTTGTTGTGTTCTTCTTTCTGTTTGAATTAATCAGCTGGATTGTTCTCGCATGTTTCTTTAGGATTAAGAAGCATGAAGCGAAATGAAAAGGAATATGATAAGGAGTTTTTTGTATCGTGTATGAGGCGATTCATGTACACCCGATGTTACAATAGTTTCGAGTTTCTTGCCACTCTTAAGGTGAGATGACTGCTTCTCCTTACTGTATTTACTCTGAACTCCTAACTGCAACTTTTTTCTTTTTTCTTTTTTGGGGTGTATGTGTGTGTTTTATTTTATATATGGTGCTAAAATGAATGTGCCGGGTATGATAATTTATCGGAGATGGTTACATTAAGTTTCTTTGCTCAGCTGGTAATAAGTCACTGCTAATAGTCCGAGATATATCTTTGAAGCATTTGTATTTGAACCTAAAGTTCTATGCCAAAGATAGTGTATTCATCATTTGTCATAAATGAGATCAGTTGTTGAATTTATAATTTGAAAATCTCATTTTATTTCCAAATGGATTCCAGTGGAAGGGAACAGAACCTGTAGTGGTTTCTGTAATTTACACTAATGTATCTATTTTGGTGAAACTTCACCTGTTATTGCAGACACTTCATTATCAGATTTTGCGAGATAAGGAAAAGCAAGGCACTACTGCTTATATGCTAATAATTGACAGGTTTGATATGTTTAGCCGTAGATTCAAATTTAAATATAGTTAATGTGTAGTTTGGCTTTAATATCATAGGATCATTGTACTCACGATGCTTGTATTAGTGTAGACTTTTAGGTACAAGGGTTTAATTTTTTCCTACTCTCCTTGTTCTGGTTTAGGCTTTATCTTTTTTCTGTTGATACAAACTTTTTTTAACCAGCATTGGAGCTTTTTACTGGATGGATCGTGCTTTATCATCTTCATCAGCAGGGACCAACAATAGGTGATGGCTCACAATCACTTCTTGCTTCATTTTAGTTTGATTTTGCCTTGCTCTATGTTAATCAACCACGTTTCATTAGTTTCCTTTGTACCAGATAATTTTAATTTCCCAGCATCTTGTGAGTGATGCTTCTATTTGCATGTTTAATTTTTCTCAAACTATTCCCCCTTTTCTTCTTGTTAAGGAATGATTTATCTAAATACAAACGAACTCCATTTACTCTTTTAAATTTCGTATATCCCCAAAGTTGTACAAACCATTTTGTGAAGTACCACAAGTCAAATACCCTTCTCTTGAGGGTGAAATTTAGAGATAGAAATAAATGTTGCTAAGAATATGCAATTTTGAAAGATGCGCTGGATTTTTATTATTTCAAATTCTGGCTTGAGCTGAAACTCAGCGATACTTTTGTGATTGACCCTAAAGCTTAGTGACTTGTAGAAATTGAATCTTTCTAATGTGGCGCTTCTTGTGAGCAGGAAAAGCCTCTCTCTTCAGACAATAACAGAAGCAATAGTTCAGGAAATCCAGAGGCTTCTGCAGGTGCATCCCATGCTTGTTTTAGCTGCCAAATCAGCTACATTTGGCGACATGCAATCAGCATCTGAAGTAATAAGGTGATTAACTCAATCAATCACTAGGCTTGATTAACTGTCTTCTTGGTTTATAGTATAATTCCGAGTTATTAAAATCATCTTATTTTAATTTTCTTTTGTGGGGAGAAGACTCTTAAATATAAGTGTATCTTGCTACAGGAATCCAGGAAAATGGGCTGACGAGCAGTCGTTAGATTCATGTGGTCCTCGGAGCATACTGTCACATAGAGACTACATGCCATCTGTGTGGCAGGTACAACCTTTTTCGTGTACACAACTACACATCATTCATGATTGAAAACTATGCATTTTTTCATGCGTAGCTTGAATTAAATTCACGAAGCATCGGTTTTCTAAAAGTGATTCAATTTGCCAGAAATGTAACACGAAAGTTTAAATGTTATTGCAGTCCTTTGTTTCCCACAGAGTGCTTTTGCGGCCTTCAGGTTTGGATTGGTAAACTGTGCACGAATGTGTTTGTTCGGTTTATGCCGCATGTAATTTTCAAGTGATCGTGATTTATAATGTGATGCAGATAGTGAAAGCAAATATCACAACCGTCCTGCTTTTACCACAGAATGGCTTTTGCCACCACTCAAGTTCTCAGATGGTTTTACAATATATGATGTATGATTAACTCTGATCAATTACTTGATTATCAATATAATGATTTTGTTTTATTGGTTCATTTTCATTAGTAACGACGGATTTTATTTATTTTTTATTTATATTTCGATATAGGATGGTGTTATCGCTATTTCATGAACTGGACGGGACTTGGTGCAGTTGCCAGTTGGCCCTTGGAAGCTCTTTACCATTCTGTAGCATATTTGAGTTTATGTTCTTGAGCTTGATTTTCCAAAAAATCAATATTCTTTCTGATGACCAAGGTTAAGGAGGGCAATGGTGTAATTTTCTCTTGAGACGAAGAAATAGAAAAATGATTATAACTTCTCTGCCTTTTTTCTCAGATACTGTAGTTCACAGACTCGAATTTTACACGATTAAATCAGAATCTAATATTAAGTAGAAAATGTTTGGAGTCGCTAGGATTTATTTTTTACATTAGAAAATCATATTCTCGAAATAATTTAAACTTTTTTTTTTTTGGTTCAAAGGAGGCCAAAAGGTTAAGTTAAATTAGGACTCAATGGCGATACAACACCCCAATATGATTAGCCGCAAAGTTGGCTTCCCTATGCACGTGTTGGATTCTAATATTCCAATCTCTTTGAACAATATTTCAAATGGCCTTAACCATTACTTCATGGTGCCCAAGCCCGCCTTCGGAGTTACAAACCATTTTTTACACGCAAAGGCTATCAATCTCGGTAATAACTTGTCGATATCCCAACTCCTAAGCCAAATCAGTCTCTAAATTACAGAAATTGGAGGGAAATGGGTGCGGGCCCACTATCATGAAGCGCATCATGGGAAAACGGGGAAAAGCCCATATGAAGCCTCAAAACCAATTGGTTAGGGAGGAGTAACCCACTAGGCTTATAAACTAGGCTCATTTACCCTATCAAATCAATGTGGGACAACTCACAAGTGACATTCCAACACGCCCCCTCACTTGCGAGTCCTTCATCAGCCCACGCCTCCAACTAGGCCGGGTACATTTTTTCAGCCCACACCTACAACCAGGCCGGGTAACCAATTTTTTTTTTTTAATCGCAGGTCCCAAATTAGGCCCGCTCTGATACAATGACAGAAACTGGAGGGAAATGGGTGCGGGCCTACTATCATGAAGGGCACCATGGGAAAACGAGAAAAAGCCCATATGAAGCCCAAATAGAATTCCATCCCAAAATCAATTGGTTATGGGAAAGGACTCATAAAAGCCAGCACCTATAAGAAATGCGAGACTCGATGTAATTGACTGGTTCTGGGGGCCTAGGGAAGAATAAACATAAGGGAGAACTGTTGGAAATTTTAACTTTATGCGAAAACCACTTTACCCCAGGAGCATTCATATCGAATAATTGAGAATCAAACCGAATAAAAGCGGAAGCGTACCGTACTTCATGAATTCATTTGCTTGATAATTCTCGTGTGTTGTGTTCTTCCAAACGATCTTGTTGGACTGGTATGGTCTTCCAAACGATCGAACCTTATAGCAGATTTTGATCTGTAGTGTTTGTATTGGATATATGATTTTGTTATATTCCCTTATTCTGAAGTGAGAAGGTGAGTGCTTTTAAAGGGAGAAAGCACCCCTTCATAAATCTGCTCGTGTCTTTTCGTCGTTTGGGGCCATAACCAAATAAATAAAAAATATTGATTTTCAGTTCGGTCCCTCAACAAACAAAAAATCACATAATGGTATCTACACTTTTAAATCCATAACAATTTGATACTCTCTTTATTCAAAATAACAAATATAGTAGATCACTTTAATTGAATTATATTATGACAACTATACACATTTAATTTACATATGTTGTCCAAATTAAATATTTCTAACAATCTCCCACTTGGACTACATATGCAACCAAACAAATGTGTATTACTTTATGAGCTCAAAATTTGTTGTCATAAACAAGAGTATCCTTTACCAATCTCGTCCATTAACCGTAATGACATAGGACTAAAGAGACATTCATCATTTTTAGCATGAATCAACCCATCAGTAATCACACATATCAATACAATTAAATGACATAGATCAATCATGGAAGTGTAGCATGAAAATTACATGTAATGTGATCTTTCATGCCTATTTTCAACTGGCCACTTTATTCCATAGTGAGATCAATATAAAATCAAAATTACAGAGTATATTACACCGAATACTTTATATCTGATCAGAAATATCCAAACACACATATACAATATGTCTATAGAACAATCAATACAGACTCCCACTAAAACCAAGTATCCTGAAATTGTGTCACACCCATTCGAACAGTATGTTCATGAAAGACCTTGGGTATTGGACCTTTAGTAAGCGGATCCGCAATCATTGAGTCTGTCCTTACATGTTCTATAGCAACTTGTGCACTCTATACTCTTTATTTTATAACTAGGAACTTTATGTCGATATACTTTGACTTAGTTAAGTTCCTACTATAATTGGAATATAATACTGCTGAATTGATGTCACAATAAAACTTTAGTGGTCTTTCTACGTTCTCAATAATATGCAGCTCAGTGACATTTTGCAACTATATTCCATTATTGAATGTCTCATAACAAGCTACAAAATCAGCTGTCTTGACATCCACCAAAATCAGAATCAATATACTCGATGATCTCCAAATGATCTGATTTTCTATAAGTGAGCATGCCTTAGTTCTCTGTAAGTACTTATGACCCGTTTGGCTGCTTTCCAATGTTCTATACCAGATTTATTTAAATTTTTATCTACTATACCAACAATAAAAGATATATATAGTCTTGTAAAGACTCGAGCATACATCAAACTCCCACTGAATTTATGATACACACAATTATCACCAATTTTCATCTCAAAACCAAATGAGATTACTACCTGATGAAATTTATGATACCACTGAAGAGATGCCTGTTTGAGCCCATAGATAGATTTCTTTAGTTTACAAACTATTTTCTTCGGGTCATCGACCTCAAAGCTTTCTGGTTGTACCATATGGATCGTTTTATCAATGCCACCATTGAGAAACGTCGTATTTATATCCATCTAATGAAATACAAGATCAAAACTGCTACTGATGCCATAAGATCACTTTCTTTCAAGTCATTATTGCCTTTATTTTCTTAAAGAAAGCATAATCATCCGAAATAGCATTCATTCACTCTCAAGTGATTTTCCTTAATGACATAAGTTATTGAGGTTGTTGAGTTTGTTCATCCTGAATAACCAAACTAGTTTGAGTTGAGAGATTCTTGACATTATCCTGTTGAGGTTCCAAATCTACTTCTCAACTAATTACAGGAATAGAGACCTGCACATTGTCAGAAGCAGTAGTAGAAATCGGAAATGATTCTTACTCAAAGATAATGTCCTTAGCCTTATTTCTCCCCCAAACTCAACATCCTAAAAAAATATCCATTTCCCATCTCAAATATAGATCTTTAGCGGGTTCAAAAAATTTAAAACCTTTAAACTTAAGAATGTTATTGGTATCAGCAGAGATAGAAGTACTAGATGTCATAACTTAACAGAGAATAACAATAAATTAATCAACATGCTCACATCAATCACAAAAAATTTAAATAAGTTTAGTAACATCTCAAGGCACCTAGCACAACATCAATATCAAGTCTTTGGACAGTAATATTAATTTGTAAGTGGTCGCCTTTGTGTAGTAATCAAATATTGACAAAACTCCTGTCAAATAATAGTCTTTCTTTTGAAAAACATATTATTCACATGGATATAACTATATATTGTCACATATTTATTACCACAAGTATTAATATATTTCTGCCAAGTATTAATCTTCCTTTGGGCCGACTAAATACTCGCATGAAAATATACAAATACAAACATCTAAAACCTTTGACAAATAAATCTACACAAGAGAGGTCACTTTTGCAACTTCTTGCTTCAATTAAATCATCTTGAATATTAGACAAATTTCAAATAGGAACACGAGATGTACCAAAACAAATTTAAACGAAATGATTGAAATATTTATTTATATATGTGCAATCATTAAATTATTTTACTATATTTGCACAATCAATAAATAAATAATTAACTGAATTAAAAAATTCCTGAAATTAACTCAATTGAGTTTAACCAAAGTGAATCCTTAATAATAATTAATAATATAATCAATTATTGAACAGAGATATTATCAAAAGTTGTAATCACATAACATGAATAAACCAATAGTGCACTGTAGTTATGCTTGACTTGGAACTTTGCCTTCACACA